GCTCCCTTTCCCTTATCTTTGTTGATTTAGTTGACTTATAGGTTTGCTCATTTTGAGCTTTTATATTGATGATATCAGTCATTCATGACATGTTCCTTAGACTCTGATTATTTCACTTGAAGTTCTGTTTGCTAGGCTTGCCCATGCTGTGCATGTAGCAGTGGGCTGTTCTTTGATTGCCCGATTGCACCGAATACCATGGAATAAACCACTGTGGTAGACAAACCAACAGCACTCTCCCCTGGATCCACCAAGATGTCAGCATTCAAATCCCAGAATGAGTGATTCTGAAGACTATAGGTTGCATGGTAGAGGAGGATTAAGGCTGCAGCTATAATTACGATACTATGAGCATTAATAAGAGCTGGGGGGATGGTTCAGTGGTCAAAACATTTGCCATGCAAGCCTGAGGACTGGAGTCTAGATCCCCAGGACTCATGTGCATGTTGGGTGGGCATGGCAGGCCACTTGCAATCCCAGCCTCAGAAGGTGGAAATAGGAGCTACAGAGCAAGCTAGCTAGAAGACGAGCCATATTGATGAGCTCTGGGTTTGATCTAGCAATCCTGCCTCAGTGAAGAGAGTGGAAGAGCAATGGAGGACGATTCCTGACATCAGTCTCTGGCTTCCACATGTACATGCACTCCCACCCCTGTGTGCACACATATGCATCACACACACTTAAATGCATACACACTTGAAAATGGAAAAATAAGAGTATCTCATTATATCCCTGTGTCTAATAATTCTTCCACTGTTAAATGCTTTTCTTATTTTTAATTAATTTACAAAGTAACAAGTTTCCTCGAGGAATTTTCATAATACTTAGTTTTGACAGGTCCCCTCCCATCCACTCCTCTCCCTGCTCCTTCCCCTGCCTCCTTACTTGTACCCTTCTGCCCATAGTGTTTCCCTTTCCATTTTGTGCCACACGTGCTGAATGTCTTTCTACTGCTTGGATGATGTTAGACCAACATCATTGCTGAGGATCTGCTTAGCTCCCTTCCCCACCAGCTGTAGGCGAATCACTGTACTTCCTTCTTGGTAAACTGATACCCAAAGTCAGAAAGGTCCTGGAAGCAGCTGGATCTCCTGTGTGCCATGCTTACCAGCCCTGGAGCTGGGCTTTGCTTTTGCTCAGGGAAGTGCTCATGATAGTAATACATGGGACAGAAAAGACAGCAGGACTCTAGAGGGTCTGAGTTTGCTAAACACCACCTACATTTTTCCTGGAAAGAATAACTGCCTATAGCTGGTGTCTTAGTTAGGGTTTCTATTGCTGTGAAGAAACACCAGGACCATGGCAACTCTTATAAAGGAAAACATTTATCTGAGGTAGCAGCTTACAGTTTCAGAGATTTAGCCCATTATCATCATGACGGGGAACATATAGGTAGATATGGTGGTAGCTACATCTTGATATACAGGCAGCAGGAAGTTGTCTGAGACACTGGGTGGTATCTTGAGCATATATGAGACCTCAGTGCCCACCTCCACAGTGACATACTTCCTCCAACAAGACCACACCTATTCCACAAGGCCACACCTCCTAATAGTGCCACTCCCTTTAGGGGCCATTTTCTTTCAAGCCACCACAGCTGGATTGCTGGTCTTTCCAAAGAATATTGTTTTTAAAAATTGGCAAATTAGTTAGTTAATTCTAAGCCAATAGCCAGGCATGTACACCTTTAATCCTAGCACTTGAGAGTCAGAGGCAGGCAGATCTCTGTGAGTCCAAGGCTAACCTGGTGAACAATCTTCCTCAAGATCCAACTATACCACTCTTGGGCATATACCCAAGGAATGTTCAATCATAAGTGTATACTAGATGTAAAGCAAAGAATAACCAGGCTGAGCAAGGTACTGAACTGCTTCCCTTGATGGAATCTAGGGTTGATTCTTAAGAGAACAGTGCAGCTCTGCAGCCTGAACTAATTTGAGCTGGTGTGTAGGCAAAAAAAAAAAAAAAAAAAAAAAAAAGGAAATGTTGAACTATAGAAGTCCATAATTTTCCTCCTTTTCTTTTTGTCTAGAGAGGTTGCTAGAGTCACAGCTCAAGCTTGGGTGGTGGGTGGTGGTACTTGACTGTTTGAGGGTAAATAAGATGCCCAACTCTATGTTCTCAGTCAATAATATGAAATCACATTATATGAAGCAGTCAAGTTGAGGAGTTCCTAAGTATACGTGAGAAAGGGTGAGTGGAGCCCAGACAACCCCAAAAGCCACAAGAGCTGGCTAGGAAAAGCAGCAGTAACTGTCCACTTAACACAGCTTAGTCACCTGAGAAGGAAGTCTCAATAGAGAGATTGACAAGATCAGATTGGCCCATGGGCATGTCTATGAGAAAGTATCTTGGTTGTTACCTGATACAAGAGGACTCAGTCCACTGTGGGCAACTCTATTCCCTAGCAGGTGGTTCTGATCTGTATAATAAAGCTAAGTGAACATGAATGTGAGCAGGCCCCAAACAGTGTCCCTCCATGGTTTCTGCTTCAAGTTCTTGCTTGACCTCCTGCCCTAACTTTCCTCAGTGGTAGACTATGACCTGGAAGTGTAAGCCAAGTAAATAAAATCTTTCTTCCCTTAAGTTGCATTTAGGCAGAGTTTTTTTGTCCTAGAAACAGAAAGAAACCTAGAGCAAGCATGGTAGAAGGCAATGGATAGAGGTCAGAGGAAGAGGGACCTTGAGAGCATTGCCTGATGGTCCTGGGAAGTATCTGTTCCTTTTCTTTCTTTGAGATGAATTGCTAGTCTTCCAAAGTTAGGCTAGTTAACCTAAAGAAAGTCTGATTGATCAACAGAGGTTTTACAGAGGGCAGGACTGTGCTTTTACACACACACACACACACACACACACACACACACACACACACACACCAGTCTCCTTTAATTGGTTGTTCACATGAAGTGTCTTAGAGTTGTTCCCTTGAATCTAGCCTTCACTGGCACTTCGTGGCTACACCCCTCACACTCACAGCTAGCAAAGCCACTCAGAAGAACCTGTGAGACACACAGGGCTGAGGAGAGGAGAACCTGGGTGGGAGGGGTTGCCAGCTGGACAGTGTCAGAATTGGCCCTGCAGCAAGATAGACTACTCACGGGCAGCCCAGAGAGCTGCTGGCATATGCATACCCTCTGCAAACCTTTAAAATTATTAGTTGCCTAATCTTCGTTTTTTTGTTGTTGTTGTTTTTGTTTGGTATTTGTTTTATTTTTTCCTGTATGGGGAGTCAGAGTCCTGTAATCTCTTCATGCTTCTAAAAAGTGCTTGATAGAGGGACTTGAAAGGGAGAGGATTGAATATACTCCCTACTCCCTGGTGAGAGGGCCATCTGGTTGACCCCTCTGCTTTCAGCAACAAAAAAATAAAACATGGAACCACCCACTGTCCCATCGTGACCAGCAAGTTGTACCCATGCCATCACTGCCACCTCCTGTATCACAGCCCCCAATAATGCAGCCTTCTGTTGCAGAGATGCCTTTGTTTGCTGGGAGTTAGTTCATCTCTCACCTCTGCCAGGTGCTGCATCCGCTGTCCCTTTAGCTATGTGAGGCCATGTGTTCATCACGTGAGGCAAGCGTGTTAAATGTGTGTGTCTGAAACATTTATAGCTGTCTGCAGCTTGATGAATGCTGGTCTCCAAATGCTAGAAGCTGCCCCATTCCTCCCTGCAAGAGCTAAAGCCCCAACTTCTCATGTTGGAACTTAGAGTGCAATAGAAAGCTCTTTTCTTTCTTCAGGCCCTTCTGAGTTCACTTACTGTTGTATGTGAGACGTCACTGCATTATTTAGCAGTGATGGTGATAAATAGCAAAGCAATACCTGATCACCTGACGTTCTCTTAAGTTACAGCCATGACTTGATACTATATTTGGGTGTGTTTGAGCCAGAAAAGGCACATGACTAATCAAGTAGTATCTGTTTTATTGGTTTGTGGTCATTTTATACCTTCGAATGAACATCTAGTGGTTGATGAAGATGTGTTTATACATGTATCTACTTAGAGACCATCTCTATCCTACTTCATTTTGGCTTAGTTAATATGAGTTGAAATGATGGACATTATAAAAGGCAATATTCTCAGATCAATGGTATAAATAGCTGCACTGAGGTCATGTGTCCTTTGTTTTTGTATAGATTTTCTGTAGAATTAATGATAATTATTACTATTCAACTGTTCTATGCAGTACTTATTATTAGATATTAATAATGCCTCATTTGTTTTTTCAAGGAATCCCAGTAAGGATCATAAATTATATGACAATCCTAATCTGAAGGGAACTAAAGTTTAGTCTCATTATGCCATAAGCCTGTTGAGTTCCTAGATTTGTTCATCTTTTGACATCCTTTAGTGTTGTCTCCAGGTATCCCTCCCACCCTGCACCCATGCAAAGATACACATGTTATTCCATGAGGGTGCTGAGAGACTAGGATAGGTGAGGAGCCCGGGGAAGTGAGACCTGAGGAATGCTGCAGCTTACTCACAGAACTGTAGAAAGAATACCAGGCTCTTGATAAGTGGCACATATAGAAGCCGACACACAGTATGTGCTAACTTAATATTCAAGCATGGTAGCTACTGGTCAAAGTTAGTAGTGTGGACATAAAGAAAGAAAGGGAGAAGAGAAGACCTGGGGCTGGCAATGTTCATCACACTGGAGTGGGATTCCATGGAGATTCCATGGGGCTTTGACAAAGAAAGTCTCCAGGCCAGCCTGTGCAGTAGTCTAGTTCATGAGGGTATTCTGTGAGGGGGCTGTTCTCCTAAACAGGGCTTCATGCTGGATTCATTGTGGAGACAGTCTCTCCCTGACATGAGGAGGGACAGAGCAGGTCCTCAGGGCGCTTCAGGCAGAAGGGCTGGAGAGCAGCTAGTGGCAGTCTGAAAGTTGGCCGAGGCTTCCGACACTGCCCTGTGTCATGAATGAAATGGCACCTGTTGGTTTGGCCTGTCTCCCCTGTCACGCTCACCGGCCTCTCTCTTCCTGTGGTTCTTTTAGGAGCTGGTGGGGAGCAACCCTCCGCAGAGAAACTGGAAAGGCATCGCAATCGCACTGCTCGTCATCCTGGTCATCTGCTCCTTGATCGTCACCTCAGTCATACTGCTGACACCAGGTATGGATGCTTTCAGAAATGCAGTCACAAACATCTTAAAATGGGCAGTTTTGCTATGGGATATTTTCTAAGTATCTGTTGACTGTACGGTTTATTCTTTTTTTATTTTTTATTCATTTTACATACCAACCACAGATCCCCCTCTTATCCCTTCTCCCGCTCCCCCCACCCCACCTAACCGCCCCCCCCCAACCACACCTCATCCCCTCCCTCCTCCAAAAGGGTAAGTACTTCCATGGTGGGGAGAGCAAAGACTGGTACATTCAATTAAGGCAGGACCAAGCCCCTCCCCACTTTATCACGGGTGTCTGGCCATATGCAATGGGATCCAGAAAGCCAGCTCATGCACCAGGGATAGATCCTGATCACACTGCCAGGGACCCTTCAAACAGACCAAGATACACAACTGTCTCCTGTATACATAGGGTCTAGTCCAGTCCCATGCAGGTTCCACAGCTGTCGGTCTAAAGTTTGTGAGTTCCTATGAGCTTGGTTAAGTTGTCTCTGTAGGTTTCCCCATCATGATCTTGACCCCCCTTACTCATATAGTCTCTCTTCCCTCTCTTTGACTGGACTCCTGTTACTCAGCCTGGTGCTTGGTTGTGGATCTCTGCACCTACTTCCATCAGTTACTGGATGAAGGCTCTATGATGATAGTTAGGGTATTCACCAATCTGATTACCAGGGTGGGCCAGTTCAGATGACCTCCCACTATTGCTAGGAGTCTAATCTGGGGTCATCCTTGTGGATTCCTGGGAACTTCCCTAGCACCAGGTTTCTCTCTATCCCCATGATGTCTCCCTCTATCATGGAATCTCTTTCATTGTTCTCCCACTCTGTCCCTGTTCCAGCTTGACCATCCCATTCCTTCATGTTCTCATCCCCCATCCCTTCCCTTCTATTGCCCCCACTCCCAGTTTGTTCATGGAGATCTTTGTTTCCCCTTCCCAAGGTGATCTGTACGTCCCTCTTAGGGTCCTCCTTGTTTCCTAGCTTCTCTGGAGCTGTGGGTTGCTGTCTGATTATCCTTTGCTTTACATCTAGTATCCACTTATGAGTGAGTACATACCATGTTTGTCCTTCTGAGTCTGGGTTACCTCACTCAGGATGATATTTTCAAGTTCCATCCATTTGCCTGGAGTTTCATGATGTCATTTTTTATGTTGAGTAATACTCCATTGTGTGCATGTACCACATTTAATATATCCCATGGTATTCCTGGGTGTTAGAGAAAGGATAAATTAAGAAAATATTCAAGCAACACATAATGACTGTGAACCAAGGGCAAATTACTTATTAGTTAACACTGATGGAGTTAAATACTGATGGATCCAGAGGCAAAATTCTCTCAGGTAAGTAAAACCATACTAGAATCTAATGTTGCATTGCATTCACCTACATGGCCTGTGGAGTTGCTGAGACAGAATTACTTGGGAGCCTCGGGGATGGAAAGGTCTTTTAGCTTAGTTTAGTTTTTTAATTTTATCTCCACATTTGTGGATAAAGTGGGGTGTGGGGTGGGCTTCCCAGAGAGGTGGGAAAGGAAGCCTTTGCTTGTAAGTTGGCCATGTGGAAATGTCACCGGACAACACAGGGGCCATAGATAGCAGTATCTGCTGTTTACTCCATCATCAGCGTACTTTAGATGCTCATGTGCAGGTGCAAAAACAGCATCATTCCAGTCCTCAGTGAGCTGGCTGTACATGCATTAGACTTCAGGGTGGGAAAGTGAGTAGATACTGCAGTGTGGGAGAACGGAAAGTAGGTGCAAATGCAGACAAGTGGTTGACCCATTAGACCAAGATGTGAAATAAACTGGTAACTTTTTTAAAAGGTGGTAGACACTATCAGGAAAAATAAGAACTGCAGACCAGTGTTCCTTGTGAAGACAGATGCACAGAAAGCTAGTAGCAAGCTAACACAGTGGTGTATAAAGGCATTACAGGGGGTTGGACAGATGGTTCTGCTGCTAAGGTCAGAGAGGATCCAAGTTCAACTCTCAGTACCCACATCAAGTGGCATACAACTACTTGAAACTCCAGATCCAGAAACTCTGATGATGCCCTCTTCTGACCTCCATAAGCATTTGTACTCATGTGCCCATGTACACAGCCACACAGCCACACATACGCAAATAATAAAATTTTAAAAATATATTACATGTTATGGCCAAGTGGGATTTATCCTAATTCAGAAGTATTAAGTCAACATACAAAAGTCAATGAAATACACCTGTATTAACAGAACAACACGCAAACCCACAGATCTTATAGACAGTCAAAGTGCATCAGTACCCCTGAGTGTGAGTGGAGTCAGAGGCCAATGTGTGGGAAATCTGTTCTGTCCTTTTGTGTCCCAGTCACCAGGCTAGGGGATAGGTGCCTTTCCCTGCCAAGCTATCTCACAGGCCCTCACTGTCTTAATAGTATCTTTTTTCTAAATTTTATTTTTTTTAATTGTAGTGTGTATGTCTGTGTATAGGTTTGAGCTTGTATGTGTAAGTGCCTTCAAAGGCCAGAAGACTTGCTGGGAACCAAAGTCCAGGCCTCTGGGAGAGCAGTATAAACTCTTAACCACTGATCCAATGTTCCATCCTCTTTGATAGTATCTGGTAATACACAAAAGTCTTTAAGTTTGACAAAACTCTATTTCCTCTTTGGTTATTTATTTGTTATGGGTCATAGTAAAGGATGTGTTTTTAGTCTAAGGTTACAGAGATTTATTCCTGTTATCCTTCTAAGAATTTTAACAGTTTTAGTTTTTGTATTTACATCCTTGATCCACAGTGAGTAAGTTTTGTGTGGTGGTGTAAGGGAAGGCTCAGACCTCATTCTCTGTGTGTGAACACACAGTTGCACCCACATGGTTTGTTGACTTTTCCATCCCCTTGTATAGTGACAGCCACTTTATGGCTGTGCAGAGTTAGTACAGAACTCTCCGTTCCAATCCACTGATGTACGTGTCTGCAGATATGCCCATATCACAACATGTTAACAACTGCAGCTTTATGCTGTTTTAAAATTATGAAGTCTGCTAAATGCTTATTCTTAATATTGCTTTGATTTCCTCACATTACTATAAGAATTCCAAATAGATATTATACTGGTAATTTTAGTTACTTCTCTGTTGCGTGATAAAATACCATGACCAAGGCAAATTATAGAAGAAAGAGCTTATTTTGGCTTATGGTTCCTGAGGGTTAGTTCCCATAATGTCAGGGCAGAGACAACAGGCATGGTGGCTAGAGAAGGATGCTGAGAAGCACAAAGCAGAGAGAGCGAAGTAGAAATGACAAGAGTGTTTAAGATCTCAAAGCCTACCCTTAGTGACATACTTCTTCCAACAAGGCCACGCCTCCTAAGCCTTCCCAAACAGAGCCACTAACTGGGGACCATGTGTTCAAACATATGAACCTATGGAGACATTCTCATTCAAACCACCACAGTAAGTTATGTGCTGTGGAAGCTTGCTGAAAGCAGACTCTGGGAGCAAGAGAGTCTTCCCTTGTCTCTTAAAGTTTTGTCAAGTCTTCTTCCCCCTGAGTCAGGAACTCTCAGTGAGAAATGATGGATAGTTATATAAAAAAAGAACATGAGATATGAACCTTTCTGTATGGAATACCATACATTTCCCCCAGTGCTGAAGAGGCTTCAACAGCAGTTCTGCAGGACAGGTCCTCATCTTGCCCTGAGCGACCTGGAACTTATCCACTTGTACAGGACAAAAACATTGATTGAGAGGCTGGAATCTGGATGAGTGGTGTGGAAGGGACTGTGGACAGATTAGAAAGACAAACACTTGTTTTGTGAGTGCTGCTGCTGAGTGGATACAGCAGGGACCAGAGCAAGTGCAGAGATTTAATTAATACGAATGAGCTGGGACTCTCTCTGGATCTGGAGAGCATGGGGCTGTCTTTGCTTTCCTTTGAGCAGAGCTGTGCTTTGATAACAAGTGACTTTCACAGCTTTGGTCCCACGGTCATGTCACACTTCCTGGGGACTTAGAATGGGGTAGTGGTTTCAGAGACTCTCCTGCCTGATGTGAAGTTTTGCCAAGTCCACCTGCCCCAGAATCAAGGGCTCTCATGAGCATTACTCAGGAGTGGAATGTGGTGGATGGAGTCGGCTGGTGGCAACACAGCCATAGTACACAGGGCAATGAATATCCCCAGACCTGAAAAGTGGCTCCTGGAACCTTCTTAACAGCTAACCCTGATGGAACTTTACATCACTTCCATGCCATAGGAGCAGCCACAGAGCAGCCCCCTCTAGCCCCAGTAGAGAATACAGTCACTGCAAAGTTTTTGCCAGATGGTGACCTCAGCTGTCAGAGAAAGATACTGTAGAAGGTTGCTGGGGCCTTGAGTGAGGCTGCATATTCCAAGAAGGCGTTGAAAGGGGCTGTTTCCTTTACGCTTCTCTTGAAATAAACATATGGTTGAGCCTTTCTTGCCCTTTGGTTCTAGAGACATCTGTGGGTGATGTCTGTTTCTGTAGGTTGTGATGTTGGGGAACTATGTGTCCTAGGCTTGAGAGGACCAGGCAAGCTGAATGCTCAACACAGAAGCCATGCTGTAGGGCTCTCCTGGCATGCCCTTTCTGTGTTCCCTCTCCTAGAACAAAGTAAAAGCTTTTGTCTTGACACTGAAAATGGTGCCAGGTGTTCTACCTATACTGCTGTGAAGTGTCCCCAGATCCCCTTGGATGTGGAATATCCTCAGAAGAGCCCACAGAGCCAGGCTTGTCCTCCTTCCAACATTAATAATCCCATTAGGAGCTGCAACTTCTCTGCTAAGCACCGAGCAAATATAGAAAGTGTAAATATGTGTGTTCTCCTTTGGGCTAAAAGCAAGGAGGCAAGATGTCCCAAGTGTTGCTATCAGTAAGAAAAATAAAACTGGAGAGCAGGGTGGGGCTGAGCTCAGGGTACCACAGGAGGGAAGAGGACTGCAGTGCAGAGTCCTCAAAAGAGTGGCCATACGTGGGGATATATGAAAGCAG